GGGGGGGGGGGGGGGGGGGGATGGAGAACAGTATGTTGAAGTCGTTCCACAGATGGAAAAACAGAGACGGTTAGAACAGATTCTTAGGTCCCAAGAACGGGGATCTAAGGTAATAATTTTTTGTTCCACGAAGAGGCTATGTGATCAGCTTGCACGAAGTCTTGGTCGTGGTTTTGGGGCTGCTGCAATTCATGGAGACAAATCGCAGGGGGAGCGTGATTGGGTATTGAACCAGTTTCGTAGTGGAAAGTCCCCAATACTAGTTGCCACAGATGTTGCTGCCCGTGGGCTTGACATCAAAGATATAAGGTAGGCTCTCTTTTATGCTCTTTTCTCCTCTATGGTACGGAGAGGAAATCTTGGGAGTTGGGAATAAAAATTTGAAAGAAAATGGATCTGATGTTGGAGGGTTTGTATGCTAACACTATCATATGATTTTTGCCCAAGTATGTACTTAGATTTATTTATTTCATTGTTATGCCAGAGTGGTGATCAACTATGATTTTCCAACTGGAGTTGAGGACTATGTCCATCGAATTGGGAGAACTGGGAGGGCTGGAGCAACGGGAGTGGCATATACCTTCTTCACCGAACAGGATTGGAAATATGCTGCTGATTTGATTAAACTACTGGAGGGTGCGGATCAGCATGTGCCTCCTGAGTTGCGAGATATGGCTATGCGTGGTGGGCCAAGTTTTGGGAAGGATAGGGGTGGGATGGGTCGTTTTGATGCAGTTATGGGCGGCAGTCGCTGGGATTCAGGAGGCCGGGGTGGCATGAGAGATGGTGGGTTTGGTGGTCGCGGTGGTGCAAGGGATGGTGGGTTTTGTGGCCGTGGTGGGATGAGAGATGGTGGGTTTGGTGGTCGTGGTAACATGAGGGATGGTACTGCTGGTGGACGAGGTGGGAGAGGTGATTTCTTTTCTACACGGGGTAGAGGACGGGGTTTCGGTGGCCCTGCTGGAGGTCATGTTGGTTGGGGAAGGGGTGATCGTGGCGGGCCACATGATAGGTTCAGTAGTGTGGATGGTCGTGGACGTGGGCGTGGACAGAGTCGATTCGATAATAGAAACGACTTCAGTAATAGGAGTAGAGGCAGAAGTTACAGCCGCAGTCCTGAAAGAGTCCGAACATGGGGTTACAGTCGAAGTCGAAGTCGCAGTGGTAGCCGTAGTCGTAGTAGTAGAAGCTGGAGTAGAAGCCGTAGCAGGAGTAGGAGCAGGAGTCGGAGTTGGTCCCGCCGTCACAGCCGAAGCCGTAGTCGTAGTCGTAGCCGTAGCCACGATAATTACGGGCGTTCGGCTGCAATGTCTCATGGCACACGAAAGAGCGGTTTTGACGATAGAGGTGATGCGGGGCAGGTTCCTCCTGTGGCGGCCAGCAGTAATATCGAGCCAGGGAAACCTGAAAATGGTGCAGAAGATACGAGTGATGGAATTGTTAATGCAGCAGCTCAAGGAATATGAATCTTTATATCGTTGGTGAATTCACATTCTCTTTGGAAGATTCTGGCCAAGAAGCTTTTTAAGGAAAATCTAAGCATATGAAGGTTGAAAAAAAGGTGGGTATTTGGGGGACGTTTGGAATTGATGATGGTATGGTGTATGAATATGCTATGCTGGCTGTGCTCGCAATTAGCATAATTTAATTGATAGGTTTATTGATAATTTTGTTATGAAAAATGAACCCGTTTTCAAACAAGGAGGAAATATTTTTGTCTCTTGCAGTTAATCAGATGGTTCTATAAAAATGTTAAAATAGTTACTCAGTTCAATGGATGTAAATGACTTTCTTTCTCCTTACCTGCTTCTTTTACGTTCATGTACTTGAATAATAGCTCTTTTACTGAAGTGAATGCCATTAAATTGATTTGGTAGGTCGGTAGTAGTAGCAGTTTGATGTAATGAGTTTACGAGGTTCAGGAGTGAAGCTTAGGAGACAGAGCAACGATCTCTATTGTTTCTTATCGTCGCTTCAGGAACTACATAATGTCAATGATGGCAATTGTGTCGCTTCAGGAACTACATAATGTCAATGATGGCTATTGTGTGTCGCTTCAGGAACTTCATAATGTCAATGATGGAAATTGTGTGTCGCTTTAGGAACTACATAATGTCAATGATGGCTATTGTGTGTCGCTTCAGGAACTTCATAATGTCAATGATGGCAATTGTGTGTCGCTTCAGGAATTACATAATGTCAATGATAGCAATTGTGTCGCTTCAGGAACGACATAATGTCAATGATGGCAATTGTGTGCTTCACGATAGGTGGTATATACATACATCAAAGTTTTGACACTTAGCCCACGCTAAAAGACATTCTTTCATAACATTGAGCGTGAACAATTTTTCATTTTTTAAATATTTATTTTGTTGAAAAGATGGGATAAATAATAGTTTTGAATGGCAACATAAAACATGTCCTATTTGTAAATATAGAACCAACTATTTAGCTTTGCCAATATGACAATTTTAAAAATAAGATGTTCATCTTTTTGTTATTTTATTTCGTTATTTTTTTTAATTTCAGCGATATACCTAATTATAACTTGTGAACATATTATAGAAGATCTTGAGTTGATTTAAATTGTGAACATCTACTAGTTATAAATCACTAATAGATTCAAGGACTAAAGTTTAGAGTTTCTATTGATTTAATCCAAAAGTTTAGGAGAATAAGTTGGTCTCCCAAAGTCAAATTAACATAATTAAAAAAGACACGGCAATAGGTCATTGGCTCATGTGACTGGTAAGCAGAAAATATTACCCTTTATTGATTTTATTCAATTGATTTTTCCACCAGAGGAGTGAAGTAACAAAGGAATGGCATGCCCAACTTCTCTTTATTCAGATAAAATTTTCATTTTCTGTGGATTAATAATCAGTCTCATCCTCTATTATGCATCTACATGATCGTTTATATGCAACCAGCTATACAAGGGTCGAGCAAAGGCTATACATTATCTAGAAACCTGAAGCTGATTGCTGCAGAAACAAACTCGAGTTTAACATTTCCTCCATATGGAATAGAATAGGTTCATAAGTACCTGCACACCCAAGAAAGAGAACTATCAATCAATGAAGCAACCCATTTAACATGTAATGCATGAGAAGAAAACTGATCTTTAAATTTGTTCGGCTCATATGATCTTCAAATGAATTCCGTGGTTCGTTATCATATGAATAAGAATAATTCGCAATCGGGTATTTACGTAAAACTTTTTAACACTTAAGACTGTTAAAAATCAAACTCCTAAGAATAGATACATCAAGAGGATTGCCTTACTGTTCCGCTCTCATCAGATTATGCAGTGCTAGCAGGGATCTTAGCTGTGAACTTCACCGTTCCACAAGAGTTCTGAAGAAAGTTATGGAGATACTATTCCCTAGTGGCTTCTCAAGATGAGGAGCTTTGTAAAAATCATTTACATCGCAAGCACTGAATCAGTAACTGCTGCTGCCAAAAGCGGAACTGAGAGTGAAAGGAACAGACGGAGAAACCTGCTGGGGAGCCCAGCCAACAGACCCTTCTTTCGGAATATAGTCACCAATGGCACCATCAGCAATGGGTGAATATGGCTTTCTTACTCTTATGATTTCCTGAAACAGGTTGTAAAGATTTTGGTTTACAATACAATACCAACTAGTCATGCAGAAATTCATTATATGAAAAAACCCCAAAAGATCTGTTATTCAATAGTGTTGCTATTTCTCTTTCCCCAATTTCTAGATTACTCTCAATTCAATGAACGAATTCTCTGTCGAACACAAGAAAAAGCTATTATATATATATATATGTATATGTATATGTATATGTATATGTATATGTATATATTTCCATGTTTTAGCAGCCTGAAGTGTTTGTTAATTTTTTTTTTTTCTATAACATTCTTGCGGCTAGGATGCTAGGGAAGACTCTTTTCGGGGTGCCAACAAATACATCAGACATTTATTTTGGCTGAATTTGGGTTTATGGAGATGGGTTTGGACATTTGAGCTGGCTTCATTTTAAGCAGGTGTTCATGTTTTCTTTTTGTTGTTTTTTTGTTTTGTGGGTTTGGACATCTTTCATAACTGAACTAGAGGTATTTTGTTATATAGATTTTGGGTGATTTTGGCTCTCGTTCTATTTTCTGACTTGGATTTAAGAAGGGAAGGGTATTAATTTCACCCTTTACTTGAAGTGTATACAAATGAGTTTTCCCCATTCTGAAGCCTACAATTTCCAATCATCATTGAATCACATGTTAGCCTAGAAATTTACCGGATTAGTAGAATCACCGATCCAAGGTCTCAAAGTCTAGAAAATAATGAATGAAAAGTGCATCAGATACCAAAATCTTAGACTATAAGGAATTGACCGGATGTTGCAAAGTATACCACACCATGAGAAAGAATGGATGTTAACTACGAGGATAGGTTCTCAACAGTGGAACTTATGAATAAATATTGGCATTATTGAATAGGGTTCCGAGACAAAGCAAACCTTTGGTTGGTTTTGTCCATAGGTGTTCATTGCACGCTCAATTGAGGCATAAACTCGAAGAGCTTGGTCAGTGCCTCGGCCACATTTTACAACATAAGCATGGTCCTTCATCTCGGTTGATCGAGATTGCAAGTAAAGGATGAGACGAGAAGGGGGAGATTTTGGATGGTCTTTCTTTCCGTTCGAAAATTCCATTGTCACAAGGTCACCCCACAAAACATCCCATAAAACAGAACATGCATCTTTAGCTGGGCTGAACTTCCTCTGACCAATGATGGTGGAAGGTTGCTGTAAAACAAAAGGAGTTATGGTTTTCAGGTAATTGTCACGTACTGAAGAGAGGAGGCACTAAAAAGTATTCAAAAATTAGCTAGCTTACTTGCATCAATATGACTCTTCTATGAGTGACAACAAGTATTTTCCCTTTGGGAAGTAAAAAATGATCTTCATACGCATCTGATAACGCAAACTTTCCACGCACTTTAAACAAATCAACCTGTACAAAAAATGATCCCGATTCTGCCAACTGCAATATGACCTTCACCCAGGAAAAAGAAAAATTGATTAGTGTTCCAAGCAGGTAATAGGACAGTCATAAAGAAAAAATCTTAAAAGATCTTTGCCGCTTTCCTAAATAGAGACCGCTCCCCAAAAAAAAAAAAAAAAAAAAAAAAAAAGGAAGTTTATAAGGACATTTCACAAGCATAGCAACCAACAAGAATAATGGTAAAGTTCGAAAATTAGAAAGAACCCTGTAATCTTAAGCAGTCTGCAATACTATTGTTTAGGTTGATAACATCATTCTCGCTGGGAATCACGATAGAAGAAATAAAAACTTAAAAATTTGCTTGATAAAGACTTCGAAAGAAAAGACTTAGGGTATCTTAAGTACTTCCTAGGATAGGTTCTAAAAGAGACATATCTATGTTAAAGTGAAAATGTCATAGATTTATTGAAAGAAACATGTATATTAGGGTGAAAATCGGATCAAACCTCAATGGATATAGATCTAAAGTTCATGGAAAAGAAGATAAACTTCCACTGGGGCAAAAGAAGGTACCGATGCCTGGTTGGTAAGCTTATCTATCTTTTCCTACCTTCATCCTGATATCAAGTTTGTAGTTTTTGTGAATCTGTTCATGAACATCCACCAAAAAGGTTTATAGAATCATTGGGTCCTTGTATAAGAACTAGAGGTGAGGGTATTTTCTTGTAAAAACACACAATGACTTATCGATTCAATTCTAAGATGGGTATAGTTCAACAATTGATAGATGATCTGCTTTTAGATGTTGCACTTATGTTCGGGATGACCTAGCAACCTTGCAGAGCAGGAAACAGTGGGAGCAAAGTTGAGGTTGAATTAGAAAGGGAAGTGGCTATAAAGAATTTTCCAATAACAAAATATTCTACGAATGAATCTATGAAGATATTCCTTGTCAATCAAGTTTCCATCAATGTTTCTATTTTATTAGTATACTAACAGCAGTCCAATTAGTTCAGTAAAGTAACTTGGTGATGACCAGCTAAACAGTACCTGTCCTTGTGCTTTATAATTGTCATATGGTCGAAGCAAATTATCACCACTAATTACACGAGGCAGCCTCCTTCGTAGAAGTTGCTCATCCGAAGTGATAACAGATGCTATCTTCATTCTCACAGCATTAGCACCTTCCGTAGTTTTTGATAGAAGATCTAAAACTCCACTCACTGGCTGTGCAGCTGCGCCTATTATACCTTTTCCAACGCCCTGAACAAAGCCCTCAACGCCAGAAGTTTTTGCACCTTCAAGAGGCTTTGTTAATATACCAGTGACTCCTCTGAATAGGCCCTTGGCCAGAGCTCCACCTCCTTCTCGGATAACATCACCCAAATCTTCTACACCCTTATTCTCCTGAAAAGCAAACATATTAGTCAAGATGTTCCAAATTTTTAGGAAGAAGAAATGCCGGAAACGTAAGATACATATTAAAACTGAAGATGGAGCCTGCATACTGTTCTGAGTTCCGTTATGAGAAACCGGATTAATGTGGGATTTAGCTTCACCAGAATTTTTATTTGACACAAAGCATGGTTTTGCAAATGGATTATGTCAAGTATCAATAAAAAGATTAAATTTACAGCAATCCACCGGCTTAAGATTTTGGGTTTAGTGATGATTTAATTTGGTATAAAACAGGAGATCTTATGTTCAAACTCTCGAACTGTACACTGTTTTCTCAATTAATATTGATTTTCCCTTCTTGGACATTCTACAAATTT